CAGATACTGAGGATCTCCTGGGTGGACCTAATAACAAACATTGAGGTTCTACGTCGGACGGATAAAACATGTAAGAGTATATCCACAGTGAAACAGCGCAAGCTAGAATATCTTGGACATATATTGCGAAACAACCATAGATACAACCTGCTGCAACTTATATTACAGGAAAAGGTCTACGTAAACAGGATACCAAAAAGAAGAATATCTTGGCTCCAGAACTTACGAAAATGGCTTTTCGTTGACCACTTCAGGACTATTTCGAGCTGCGGTCAATAAAGTTAGAATTGCCATGTTAGTAGCCAACATCCGTAACGGATAGGCACCATAAGAAGAACAATTATGTTATTTTTGAGTTTTTCCCAGCATTTTCTAATATTTCATTCCCAGTTATCTTATCTGATATTTTTTTTTCTGTATAGCTATTCCGTAAATTCGTATTTAGTCCTTCGACTTTGATTTTTGTTTGTGTTTTCGCCGCCTTCTGTAGTGTGAAGTATTTGAGGATTATTCTAATTTTACATAATCCTAGGCTACGGTCGCGACTTTCATCTGCTGAGTTGATGCATCTTACGTCGATTATTTTCGATGGATGTATATCGCTGTTGATTATAACATAAGATAGCATAGATCTTTGTCCACGATTATTATTAAATGTATATTTGTGTTAGTCTTTATGGTCAAAAAATGTGTTGTATGTTCTAAGTACCTTAGAGATACAGAAGTTTATCATCAGTTTTATTTTTTCATTTTTAACATCCTCGTTATGTTTTTACTTAATTTCGAGTATTACTTGATTGCCTATTATATAGCGTTAAAATCCCCCAATATTGTCATATTGCCTCTGACTTGTTTTAGTCTACTACTTGTTGTAGTTGGTCATAAAACGTTTGACTTTTTGTTTTAGGCTTGTTATTTTCTGTGTCGTATACTTCGATGATATTCAGGTCTACGTTCTTCATTTTTATCTTTTCTGTTACAATCCTTTCTATAATGTATTAACACGTTCATTGCCACCAGTTAATTACTTGTGTATCAGCTGTGCCGCTCATCTTTTTTTTTTCTGATTTTTATATTGAATGTTTATAATGAATAAAAAACGGTATTACAAATGTGATTTTATTGAAAAAAAAAGTACACTTAATCATTAAAAAAAATACACCCATGGGTGTAACCGGCAACTCTAATGAAAATTTCATTAGAAATGCCGATTACACCCATGGGTGTAAGTCAACTTTACAGTAATTTTTGGCGATATAGCATTAAAAAAACAAAAAATAAAACACTTAAATCACTTAGGGCGAATGGTATTTAAAAAAACACTCGACACAAAAACCAGGTGATCTAGTGCAAGCGTTACAAACATAAATAGTTGCTCTTCTTTTATTTTGTCTCCTGCATACTAGGCACTACTTCCTTAGGACTCGTTTTACCTTTTTTGAAGTATCTCCTGTACCGTAATTTGCTTCAATTGTTTTTTCTATTTTTTCCAATTTGTGCTCTCCAAAGTCAATTTTATTTTTATTTTCAACACCACCCTCTGGCAACATAGTCTCCAAAATTAATAGTAAGAAATTATATTGCGATTTTCTTGGTTGTCCTGAATAATTATTGTATAAAATTAGTGAATTTCGTAACAATATTTGCAGTATATGAATAAACAATTTCTTATACCAACGCAAAGTTTTCCGAGAGCACGGATAATATGCGAGCATTTGGTCTTGACGGTCAATGCCGGACATATGTTTGTTATATTCATAAATGGCTGTAGGTTTCAACTTTGCTTGACCTCGTTTATTTGTGGTTTCCGTCATTGTATTACCAAATTCCGTAGTTAAGTATAATACCTCTCTTTTGTCCTTCCACTTGTCCACGTGAACTCCGTTACGAAATACGGATTTATTTTCTCCTTTTTTTAATTTTTTTTGTACAACAGGCACTGGATTACCTTTTCTATTTTTGTGTAATGTTCCTGTACAATAGGTTCCTTTTGTAAGCAGTTTTCGTCCCAATTCATAGCTATTATAAAACCTGTCCATGAATACCGAATGTCCTAGATTGTATTTCTCCTCTAACAACTTCAATACCACTTTTTCTGTGTGACCAGTACCGCTGGTTTCATCCCCTGCTCCACTGTAAACGATAAAATTGTCAACCAATCCATCATGTTCTGTCAACATGTATAGTTTAATACCATACTTATGACGTTTATTTTGTATATATTGCCGGAATTTAAGTCTTCCTCTCCAAGACATCATGGATTCGTCTAAAGAAAGGGATTTACCTGGAGTGTGAATTGATTTCATTTTGCTGTTGAAATGATCCACTACAGGACGTATTTTGCGTAAACAATCTTGATTATTAATATCATTTGGTGCAAAATGAAGGCATCGCATAAATTATTAAAAATCTGTTTTTGGACATGTACTTCGAAAAATTAGTTTTGAACAACCTGTGTGTGGACCAGTAGTTCGACAATCTTGGGAGCTGTATCATACCTAAAATAAATTGAAAAATTAGTATTGCATAACCATGCCCTTTAAAAACTAAATGGTACCTGTTAACAATAATAATCCAATAAAAATTTTCAATTCTTCCACAGTCAGCTCCTTCCAGGAGGTAATACGAGACTTCTGTTTTGTGTTTTCAGAGAAAAAGATGGTTACAGCATTTTCGTTAGTGTTTGTAACAATCAGTTCCAGCAAATGTTCATCAAGTAACAATGTAAAAAAATCAATTGGATTGTTACTGTCGAGGTTTGCCAAGAATGATCGACGGCTCCGAAATTTAAGTTTTTGTAGTTCTTCTATATCTACCCACGTAGGAGAATTTCTACCAGAAGTAGTAGCACCGGGCATTTCAACTTGCGGAGTTGTTTGATTTATTTGCTAATTCTTCTGTCAAATGTTCCAATTCATAATCGTCATCAGTACACCACTCATCACTGTTGTCTGAATATTCTCCACCGCTGGATCCTTCAGACATATATTCATCTTCATCTTCAGATTCTAAAATATGTCGCAATTCATCATCTTTTAGAGGACGCTTGCGCTCATATTTTGATAATTTTTGAGAAAGCCCCATTCTCTTTTTATTTACACCGGACGGTCCTGCTTCATTACCACTAGAAGATGTCCCTGCACTATTCATTGTCTTTACGATTTTAAATAACAATATTATAACGAAAAACGTTATTCATAATACTACTTAAACACAAAAAACTGACATTTGTCTGTTTACATTATGATTTAAAGCATATAAGTTCGGCAGTTAGGTTGCCAGAAGCCAAATGACATGATATCGTTTTTTGAGCCTTTGCTGTCAGCAACCAGCATTACAGATGTTTAGTATAATGTTCATTTAACATGCCTACCAAATTCTATTCTATTCGTAATATTGCTGGCGTTACATTGATTACATATGTTTACTATGACCGCGCTACACCCATGGGTGTATGTGGCAGCTCTACAAAACCTTAAAATACACCCATGGGTGTAGTTGGCAATGAACGTGATTAACAGTCTATGATGTGATTTTTTTATCTTTGGTGTATTAGGCTACATCTTCTTTGGTCCTGTTGTTTTTTGCTTCTTTTCTGTAGATTAGTATATATTTACCTAATTTTGATTGTCCTTTTCCATTTCATTTTGTTTCCTGTAAAGTGCAAATTTCTATTTGTTTATCTTTCATCACTTGGGTTATTTCTTGGTCCCTTTGAATGTTTTTCACTTACGTGAGTGTATGCATTTTCACATTATTTGTTTTTACGATTGATAGGTTGACAACCTTACCAATTACCCTCCACATTTTATCCAGGCTTAGGACCGGCTGTGATAACCGCAGAGCTACTTAATTTACCCACCAAACACCCTAGGCAGTGTTAAAAAAATTAGTGAAAAATAAAATTAAGTAATTTAAATTTAAATTTTTACCCTATGCCTACAATGACTGTTTTGCAGTGTAAACAAATATAAAATAATCTTGTCTTGAAACATTTTTAAATTTACTTATATCATATCACTGCTCGTCACAGTTGTGTATTAGAGAACCAAAGACATATGCCAATAATAAAATTTCTACAACCTCTATAAAGGTGGTCTTATTCACTAATTAATTAAAATAATAAAAATATATAAATAAGTACTAATGCTTTGTATATTCTTACATCATCTAGATCGCAACTGCGTCCCGTAAAACTTTTTTACCGAAAAACAACCATGGTTTAATGCTATTTGTCTATAACTCAACCTTATTTATTTCACTTAGAAATAATTTAATAACATAGCTTTGTTTCCCATCTACAGTTATGGATTATTTAATAAATCTTTTGTTTTTATTGTTCGCTTTTATGAGATGACAACAACGATAATAAAAAAGTAATAAACTTGATGCCGTCTTCCTGGTGGGTCCGCAATATAAACGATTTGTCAAAGTGTGAAACCACTTAGTTTGTATTCATTATAATCTGTATGTGTCCAACGAAGCATCGCGAAAATCAAAGTGTAGATCCTTTTTTATCATTTATACTGATTATCTACGTTCAAGACGATTGAGTATTTGGCCAACGCAAAGATTGTGAATATGAAAGATGAGAATATTTTGCTGGGGTGTTCATAGAATTAACATTAGAAATATACGCTATCTTGTTTTTAAAGAAAAAAATTATTATCGGTAAGTTAAACAAAAAAGAATAATAATTAGTTTAAGTACATTTTTATATACATTATAAACTCAGATCATCGAATAAAAACTACACATACTGTATAGCAGTATTTAATCAATTGTCAGAAATAAGAAAACTTTCTTGACGTTCAGTCGAAGATTAATCCAAAAAAAGAGAACTGTTTTAAATATGTTAGCAGTAAAAAATTTGTTGATTTATTTTATAAACACTGGTAGAATCTTAGTTGAAAGCAGTGATGAAGTAGGGTGAGCAGTAGAGTTAATAGTAATCAAGTAATACTTCGTTAATTATTACTACAATACAAATGTATTTTTAGTTTAAATTTAGAAAAAATTAAAGTTTCTCAAATTAGTAAAAAATGATATTTTAGTTCTAACTTTTTTTGTATTTTAAAAAATTGAAAAACAAAAAAAAAACTCAACTTATAGTGATTGGCACCTGTGATATATAGATTGGCCCATTTTTGTACACAGTGATTGGCACAGCGAATTTTGAGTTGCCAATTAAACATAAACAACTAAAATGGAAGTTAAGCAATATTCTGAATTATTAAATTTAGTGACCGAACCGTTTAATTCCCAAAAACAACAAACCCTTGTTTAGGTAGTTAAATAATAAGAGAGCGTATGTTCAACAATTAGCAACTTCTTCTTACGGTGCCTTATCCTTAAGGACATTGGCGATTATATTTGCCCATTTCATCTTATTTGTAGCAGCCCTGAATAGTTCTATGAAGGTCATATTCGTCCATTGCCGTAGGTTTTTAAGCCAAGAGTTTCGTCTTATTCCTGGTCCCCTTTTGCTATTGACTTTGCATTCGAATATAAGTTGGAGCAATTCATACTTTTGATTTCTTATAATGTGACCAAAATATTGTGTTTTCCGTTCTTTTATTATAAGCATAAGCTCTCTTTCCTTATTGACCATCCGCAAGACTTCCGCATTTATCGTATGGCTCATGTAGGATATTCTGAGCATTTTACGGTAACACCAGAGTTCGAATGCTTGGATTCTTTTTTGTGTTGCTTCTGTCATTGTCCAGACACCATAGAGCAAGGTGGAGAATATATAGCACTTAAGTATTGTAGTTCTCAATGAGATGCCCAGCTGGCGATTGCATAGAACTTTTTGCATTTTGTAAAACATTGTACGTAGCTTTTCTAGACGTATTCTTATCTCTAGCGAGTGGTCCCAAGTTTCATCAAGATTGCTTCCAAGGTACGTTGTTCTTGTTACTCTTTCCAGATATGTTCCGTCGACATTGACCTTCACCCTTCTGTTTTGGTGCTTGCTGACGACCATCGTTTTTGTCTTCTTTGTATTCCATTTCATTCCAAATTCTCTACAGGCTGTCGTTAAGCAACTATTTAATTCTTATTAGTTTTTCAGGTTTTGCAATTAAAAATATCGTCTGTCAATATAATAAACACATTATGTTTATAAATACAATTTTATTGGTAAATAACGGCAATTTAAGCATTCATATCATGTATTATTTATGGCATGTATTATTTATGCTTCTTGTGGAACTTAAACATAAACATAATTAAAGGTTAATACAAAATGTTGTTAATATTTACTAGGTGTCAATGTTTTGAGCCACTAAATATCTTGGTAAAAACCCGTTCAAAATTAAATTTAGTTTACATTATATATATATATATATATATATATATATATATATATTTGCAGTCAGAATATTTTCCGGGATGTTAAAAAAACACTCTTTTGACTTTTTTGTCGAGCTTTCGGAATGGTTTTATTCCTTTTTCAAGACACTGTAATAAGACAAAAATGTAAATATTTAAAAAATATCACAATTCTTCAGTGTAACTTACTAGTCGTTGAGATTATTTATATAAGCATTTCCACTCAACATTTATAACACACATTAAAACATTAAAATATACAATTATTATTCTGTCCATAATATAATATAAATAGACGAATTTGTCTCCTATGCCATATAGTTGGCCATTTGATATATAAAGCGATAGCGGCTTTCGCTACAAGATTTAATTCTTTACTTATTTCGCATAGCATAAAGGATACAGAAAACGATTATTCATATCGTTTCGTTTACAGCCTCCAAAGTAGGTGGCGCCTTTATAAGCTAACTACACGGTAGTAAAGATTTGGGAGACATTCGTTTTACTTTCCGAGTTTGAATTTGTATCAGCCCAAGTGTCTGACCATGGCTGGGATAGGCCAAAATGATCATAACACTTTAGTGATACCAATTCGAGCACGGGAAGTTTAACGAATTTGTCTCCTAGGCCATATAGTTGGCCATTATGTATATATATATATATATATATATATATATATATATATATATATATATATATATATATATATGTATTATATATATATATATATATATATATATATATATATATATATATATATATATATATATATATATATATATATATATATATTTATATATATATATATATATATATATATATATATATATATATAAGCGAGGTTCCTACAGCCATCTCGCATTTCAACCGCCATCATTCTGTGTCCATCCATTCGTCTTCTTTGATGGCTCTATCTGTCATTAAGTGTCGTACATTTTCTTCCCAGACAATTTAGTTTACATTATTCGATCTTATGTATTAAGATGTTACTAGTGGATTTAATAACATGAAGCAACGTACGACTCGACAATTCGACATGAAGTTGCTGGTCCTGAGACAAAGTGTCTACAAGGACTTGATGATAGCAACTGATTGAAATGACAATATTGTCATGTTAGGATGGAAGTCCGAACAAAGCAGTCAGTGTAACTTACTGTATTTGTCTATATATGACAGAAGCCAGCAATATTTAAAAGTTTAATAAGCAAAAATCAAAATTAAAATAATAACAGTAGAAACCATCAATGTTGTAGTTTTAAATTGTAAATTTGTACTGAATTTATGTTTATAACATGGAGAAAATTGTTTTATTGATTAATGTATGTGGAATGAATTGTGTTGAAAAATTGCGTGGATACTGATAGGCAACCAACTATACATAAGTTAATAAAGTGGTGTAAAATAAAGTTTCTAATAAAAGGCCCTTTGTGTTTTGCAACATTTGGTACCTGGAAAATGGAAATAGACATATGTGGGAAGTTGGATTTTTGAAACTTTATTGTTGATGGCTGACATAGGAAATAATATATTTGAAAGTGGCTATTAAGTAAATAAAATAAAACACTTTTATAATGTAATTTTCATGTAGTATTTAACTTATAACTTAAGCATAGAAAGCTCTGTACATAATCTCCAATGTATGTTATGCAGAAAAGTATCGACACAAGGCTAGTTCGCAATAAATCGATTTATTTTTTCTGTTTTCAAGCATTTTTTAAATTCCTTGCGATAAAAAATAGGATACCTATTTAAATTCAAATCATTCAATAGTCTACTGAACGGTCGCTAACATTTTTTTTCTAACAATAGCATATTCTTCTCATGGCGCCGTCTCCTTTCGAAGGTTGGCTATCCAGATGGCAATTGTGGTTTTGCAAATTGCTGCGTGAAAGATTTCTGCGGATGAGCGGTAGAACCATCTTCTCAGGTCTTTCAGCTATGAGTTGAACAATAGCATAGTTTGCTTTAATTTTGCTAAAACCAAAAATATATTGTATATTATATATATATATATATATATATATATATATATATATATATATATATATATATATATCCTAATTAAGTCCAATATATATATTATATATTGGACTTAACTAATGAAGTGATTACAATATTTTTTCTTTAAATGTAAACAGAACAGACCAAGAGCCTTTTCTGTGTATATTTGGGGGTTCTTCTGGCACAGTCATTTAGTGATATTTTCAGGATTAATACACCGATTTTTATTTAATTTAATTTAAATATTTTAATTGTTATGCAAAAACGGTTCAATTTTTTTTCTTTCTACAATCTTAGATTTTAAAAATTGATACAACTATAGAATATTTATATTCTTTTTTAGACTTTATCTGAAAAAAAACATCAAATAGATCAGCATGTCAGAACCGCAATACATTTAGCTAAAAAAGTAAAAACCACAACCGGGGAAAAATATCAACCTTCAGTGTCCAAATGCTTTCAGTCAAGTTCCAAAAATTAAACCGAACAGGAAACTTTTAACGAAGACTTGTGTCGTGAATTAGTATCTTCTAATATACCGCTTTTAAAATTATCTAATGAAAACGTTAGTTCTTTTTTAAAAAAATATTGCAAACAAAACATTCCCAATGAACCAACTCTTAAGAAAAATAATGTCATTTTTTATACTCCTTAGGCATCCACAACATATAAGCCGAAATAGGTAATAATTAATTTTACATATATGTGTGGCCGAAACCACTGACTCGTCAGGAAGATACATTGTGCACTTATTGATTGATGTACTTAGCGATGAATCCGATGGATGTACCTAGCGAAAAACCAACGCTCTAACAATATCACGGTTTCTACAAGAAGTGGGTATTAGCAAATTTTTTTTCCTTCTGCTGTGCCTAATGATAAATTATTTATTATTGCTTATTTTATCTGACGTGGCACCATATATGTTAAAAGCAGGACAAAATTTGAAAATATTTTATCCAAACCTAATATATGTCACTTGTTTAGCGCATGGAATAAACAGAGTTGCGGAAGAAGTAAGAAAAAAATTTCCATTAGTTAACAGTTAATAACGAGCATCAAAAAGGTATTCCTGAAATCACCTGTAAGAATATAATGTTACAGAGATATGCTTCCTGCTGTTCCACTGCCTCCGTAACTCATTTTAACAAGTTGAGGAACATGGTTGGAAGCAGCCCATTTCTATGCTGATCATTTTATTGATTAAAAAAAAATATGAATGTGTTGCTTGTGTGAGTCCATTTCAAATAGGTAAAGAAATAATAAATAAGACTTACTCACAATCAATTTAATTTAACTATTAGACGACCGGTTTCGCTTTCTACAATATGCAAAGCATCTTCAGGTCTCGATACAAAGTTAAACAAATGCTGAAATGATAAAAAACCCATATTAGGGTGTTGTCTAATAAAGATAAACAAATTAGATGTTATAAATTACAATAATTATGCCAATATTACATGTCTGTGGTTTTATTTAAATGGGTAAGTTGAATAAAAGGTATAAATTTTTTTTAAAAAGGTTAAACAGTCAAGGTAAGGCCCACAAATTGTTATAAAATAGTCTCTTCGATTGTAATAAATTAATAAATGAGCAACTAAATAAACAAAATATATATTATTTACATGCCGGTACTCTATTAATAGATGGATGGTAGAACATGTTTAAAACTACTTTATATTGTTGAATGGAGAACTCAATACTATTATTGC